CCACTTTTTCCCCTTTCATCTAGGGAAATTATGCATGGGCTCAACAACAACAAACCATCTCAGACCATTAATTACCCAACAAAAGGCTGCAGTCAGAATGATAAATTCCCACTACAGGCAGCATACTCCACCAATATTCAAAACTCTAAACTTACTCACCGTACAAAACATCCATACTTATTATTGTACCTACTACATACATAGAACACTTAATGCGGATATAAACCCTCCCCTCAAACTTCTCCTTACCAACCTCAACAAAACACATGACCACAACACAAGGCACAGATCACTCTTTGATGTTCCTCGTGTCCATCTAACACTACGTAAAAACGCAATGCACATAAAAGGCCCAAAAATCTGGAATTCATTACCTGTGAACATAAAAGAAACACTCTCTGTTTATCAATTCAAGACTTCTTAAAAACCACTTACTCACCCGCAACTAAATAAATACCGATTAACTGTATCTCATAAATGTGTAACTTGTGACCCTATCAAACTATGTTTTTTTTTCTAATTACATTACCCAATAGAATACTCCATTCACTCGAATATTCAGTAGCTCATCAAATATGCTACAAATTAATACAATTATAAAGTCTCTTATTTGAAATACTCATTTGTACTTCATGTTGTAATTTGTTTACTGTATTTTTACCACTGAATATATCATTGCTTAGTTAATCTTAAGTTAATTTTAAGCCTACCCATAATGCTCCGCATACAAGGGGCTTTTGGCATGCACACTCAATCACTGTATTTCTTTTGTACAACTATGTATCATGTCCAAATAATAATAAATAAATAAATAAGTGTGTTACAGTACTTTGCTCATAGTTCAACAGCACATCAAGTGGGTCATTCCATGTCAAGTGGACCAATTTTGAAAATCATCCCCACCTGAATACAGTGGTCCCTCGGTAATCGTAGGGCTCAATAGTCGTAATGTTCGGAAATCGTAACGATATTTTCGTCAAAACATTGGCTCGCTAATCGTAGACTGACTCACGAAGTCATTCGCCCGGGACACATACTCACGCTCTGAGCTGCCCCAGCCTCCCTTCCCAGCCATTGTTTACCAGTGAGCGACTGTCCCCTCACTTGCTCATATGAAATATTTCATAATATTCCATTCATTTTAGTGCTTGCAACTACTAAATAAGCTACCATGGCTCCAAAGAAAGCTCCTAGTGCCAAGCCTTTGGTAAAGAAGGTGAGAAATACGATTGAATTTAAGAAAAACATCATTGAACAATATGAAAGTGGTGTACGTATGACCGAACTGGCCAGGATGTATAACAAACCCCATACAACCATAGCTTCCATTGTGGCCAAGAAAAAGGAAATCAAGGACACTGTTGTTGCAAAGGGGGTGAATACAGTGGACCCCCGACATTCGATAAATCCGACATTCGATGCATTTTAACGCAAAAATTTCGCCTTGACATTCGATACGATTCATACGAGACGTGTCCATGTGTGGCCTGAACTGCCCCGTGTGTGCCAGTGTTTACAAGCCAGCCAGTGTGCATGCATCTAAGGATATGTTCAGTACATTCCATATTATCACTGTTTTTGGTGCTTGTTTCTGCAAAATAAGTAACCATGGGCCCCAAGAAAGCTTCTAGTGCCAACCCTTCGAGAAAAAAGGTGCTAATGACTATTGAAATGAAGAAAGAGATAATTGCAAAGTACGAAAGTGGAGTGAGTGTGTCGGAGTGCATGATGATTTGGTAAAGAAATTGCCTGCAACTAGTGGTGATGTGAGTGAATTTAAGGCCAGCAAAGGTTGGTTTGAAAGATTTAAGAATCGTAGTGGCATACACAGTGTGGTAAGGCATGGTGAGGCTGCCAGTTCAAGTCCTAATGGAAGGGGATTCCCCTTCTAAACACTAACACCATCCACATTCTCCCTTCCTCCCATCCCATCAATCTTCACCAGATCTTCATTAAAGGTAAGTGTCAATTATTCTATTGTTATTTATCTATTGTTATTGTAATTATTCTATTGCATTAAACTTAATATTTCATGTGGTAATTTTTTTTTTTTTCATACTTTTGGGTGTCTTGCACGGATTAATTTGATTTCCATTATTTCTTACGGGGAAAATTAATTTGACTTTCGATATTTTCGACATTCGATAAGCTCTCAGGAACGGATTAATATCGAATGTCGGGGATCCACTGTATGCTGACAAAAATGAGATCTCCAGTACTCGAAGAGGTTGGGAAGTTATTATTGGTGTGGATAAACGAGAAGCAATTAGCAGGAGATAGTCTTATGACGTCGATTATTTGTGAAAAGGCTAAGCAGTTGCACGATGATCTGGTAAAGAAATTGCCTGCAACTAGTGGTCATGCGAGTGAATTTAAGGCCAGCAAAGGTTGGTTTGAGAGATTTAAGAACCTTAGTGGCATACATAGTGTGGTAAGGCATGGTGAGGCTGCCAGTTCGGACCACAAAGCGACTGAAAAATATTTGCATGAATTCAAGCAGTACATAGAGGCTGAAGGACTGAAACCTGAACAAGTGTTCAACTGTGACGAAACAGGCCTCTTTTGGAAGAAAATGCTAAAGAGGACCTACATTACTCAGGAAGAAAAGGCACTGCCAGGACACAAGTCTATGAAAGACAGGCTGACGCTCATGTTCTGTGCTAACGCTAATGGGGATTTCAGAGTGAAGCCGCTACTAGTGTACCATTCTGAAAATCCCAGAGCGTTCAAGAAAAACAATGTTATGAAGAGTAGATTGTGTGTTTTGGAAACCTAATAGTAAGGCATGGGTCACGAGGGAAATTTTCGTCGAGTGGTTCAATGAAGTGTTTGGCCCTAGTGTGAAGAATTACCTCCTGGAAAAGGAATTGGATCTCAAGTGCCTCCTAGTAATAGACAATGCACCTGCTCATCCTCCAAACTTGGATGACCTAATTTTCGAGGAGTTTGGGTTCATCACAGTAAAGTTCTTGCCCCCGAATACCACTCCTTCCTCGCCCAGTTCACAGTAATGTTGTGTATAGAGGAGGACGGACTAGAGAGGGCTTGGAGTGGGTAGTGTGGTGTGGGTGATGTACTGCGTGACGCAACACTGTCATGCCGACAGGACCCCCCCTCCTCACTACACCCACCATTAAGCAGTTTCTTTACTCAGATGTTAATACTCGCCTCGCCATTCCACAACCTATACCTAAGGTGGGTATGCAGGATACTTACTATGATCGAGCCTCTAAGTGCCCTCCTTGTCTGCGCGATCCATGTCTCTACACTGTTGTACTTAACCAGAGTATTGCAGAGTTACGATACTGTGTACTGCCCTGTAGGTCTAGGGGGCATATCCTAGGGAAAATCGACACTTGTTGGATGTTAGAAGTGCTGGCACAAGAGAGAACTCTGATTAAATATTAATATTAAATTGTATTGATGTGACGTAATCAGTAATAATTGTTTGGTTGTTTGAAGAAGTTAATGCAAATCTTAGTTGCGAAGTCTAGTCGTTGTTAGGGGGGCTGTTGCAACCTGAATGGTTGCAATGATTATGAAGTTTTATATAATTATTTCCTTTGCATTTAATTTTATATGCTTATATCTGCCGATAATGTATGCCTAAAATCGTAAATGAATTGCTTGTATATAGTTATTTGACGTCAGTTTCCTTTGTTTGGTATAGGATGTTACCATATTACGTGTCTCAGTTCAAGTCTGTGATTGTCTAAACTTCTAATTTATAGCGCTTTTGCTCGTTATATGCCGGCGTCTTGCTGGACCGTATGATGTCCACGGAGCTATCACTGTGAGGATGGGGGGGGCGGTGTCCTCACCGCGCCGGAAAGTATCAGTTTGGTTCGAGAACTATCTTGGGGAGTTGGACAGATCTGGTCTTGTTCAATTAGGCTCTGGTTAGTTTCTGTAGAACTACTGTTCACAGAACCCTTGTATTATGACGTAGTGATTTTCGACGTTGTAAGGAGGTTGTGTGTCTCATTAGAACTCTGACTAACTCGCGTCTGAGCTGTAGATCTTTTCACCTAACTTGTGCTGGATTTCTGTGTTTAATCACAGTCGGGATTTTATTATGCTGATACTTAGATTCTGTAGGTATGGGAGTTTTTGTGGCTTCGGGGAGGATCTGCTGATGTCACCAATACTTAGGGTCGTTATATTATCTCCCTTGTTCCTGATGGGTGCCTAAGTTGCTTGTTATATGTGTTACGGCTGTATCTTGTCGTTTATTGTTCAAGACAGACTGGGAAGATTGCCACAGCTTGGTTATTAAGAACTTAGTTTATTTGAGGGCTTGTCAGTCACTTGTTTAAGTATAGTTGGAGTCTGTGAGACATAATGGAACTTATTTGAGACACGTACCAATTACACTAAACTTTTTTTTTTTTTTTTTCAACAAAGGCCGGTCGTCTACCCACGAGGCAGGGTGACCCAAAAAAGAAAGAAAATCCCCAAAAGAAAATTACTTTCATCATCAATTTCAACACTTTCACCACACTCACACATTATCAGCTTTTGCAGAGGTGGTCCCACAAGAAGTACAACAGTTATAGAAGCACATCGTATAAAAGATACACAACATATCTCAAACTGCTATATCCCAAACCAACTCCTTTAAAGTTGCAGGCATTGTACTCCCATGTCCAGGACTCAAAGCACAATAACTTACTAGGTACATATTTGTAATATCTTATGAAATGTTAATGTACCACGATTGTTACTTAAGAATCTATAAATTTGTGTTTCTTTCTGATATGTGCTTTCAGCACATATAATACTGTCAAACGAGAGATGTGATATTATTTTGGATTACTGTGATTAATTAATTGTTAATATACCATTAGAAAAAGCTCTAATGGATTTAAATAAATTTTTAAATTTTTAATTTCTCTAGTAGTAGACCTACCCAGTTGTAATCCTGAAGCACGATTTGAATTATACTGATTTCTAATGGATAATTGGACATGGAGTAATGGACTACTGTTACGAAACCCAGTAACAGGCTGGATGCTTGTAGGGCAGTCCTTTTAGTGTTTCACTGGAGTTCTCTAAGATGTTAAATTAGCATTTGTTTGTAACAGTGGTATGTGTGTGTGTGTATGTGTGTGTCTGTGTGCATGTGTGTGTGTGTTGTACTCCCTAGTTTGTGGTTGTGGGGTGTACGATTGTCGAGCTACTGCAAAGACTCATCACTGATCGCTACGTAGGTCACTCTCCCTGAACCGTGAGCTTTATCTATTACTTGCTTAACCCCTTCATGGTCCACAAGCCTAAATCTGGAAGTGGTGGCTCAGTGTCACAAGAAATTTTGAAAAAAAAAAAAAAAAAAAAAAATTATTTTTCTTTACAGAAGTAAAGAGATATTTTTGTG